TGCTGGCACAGAAATATTTATTTATGTCCAAAAAGTATTTATTGAAAATTATTTGAATATATCTGATGAAGAGAATGCAATGTCAGTAAATTTTGAGAAGTTCCAGGACTGATGTGGAAAACGAAATGATTTTTCAGCAAATGTTCACTCACTGCCTAGTGCTCCCACGTCTTTGGGAGGAATGTCTTCTCTGTGCTGTGGATAATGGGTTTGGCTGTGTGATGTGTTTTGGCTGATTGGATGTAGGTGAGATGACTGGCAGAAATTTGAAAGTGCTTGTGAGATTGGATGTAGCCTTTTGACTTTTGCCACAAAAATAAAATGTCTGGGTAGCCAGCCCAGGAGAAATGAGAGATCCATAAAGTAGATTTGGATCTATCCTACAGTTTGGCACCCAGCACAGTGAACCCATTCCAGACCAACAAAATTCTAACAACTTGAAGATATGTGAGCAGAAAATACATGCTTGTTGCTATAGGTCACTGAGTTTGGGGACTTAGAGCTTTCTTATGCAGCATATGCTGGCAGCAGCAAACTGATAAAATTCTGTCTGTAAATTTGGAGACAAATCAGTGAACTAAACAGTATGTTGTGAAAAATGTTAGTACTTGTCAAAGATGAATGTAAAATATGAAAGACTAATGTTCTCAGGGAAAAGAATACAGAAGTAATAGTTAAGTATATTCAGAAGCTAAGCTCATGAGAGAAGGAGAATAGAGGAAATTTAAAAAAAAGAGAGGTTATTCAGAATCTTAGAAACATCAGCAGCTGAGGGCTAAAACACTTGGACCAAAACCTTCTAAAAGTTGAAAGGAAGTGGAGTAATACACATGGTCTATGTTTTGACCCAGTTATTTTATTTATTTGGGCCTCTGCTTTATCTTCTAGAAAAGAAGAGAATAGCAGTGGGTAAGCTGTTTCAGCATTAAAGCTTGATAAGCCTTTGAGATCATTTTAAATCTCTTTAGTAAAATAAGCTTAGAAAAGTATGCATCAGAGATTTTAAGGAAATTAAATTTTCATTATTTTGGTAAACCTGACTTTTTATAGTTATTCCTTATTCAGATTATTAAATAGGACACTCATAATTCAACAAGAAATCAATTCAATAAGTAAATAAAATTCCAGCTTAATGTAAAAACTGATTTGAACAGGTTGCAGTTTTTGAGTTAGCTATGTTTAATGCAATTACATCCATTTTCTTTTAAATTACTTCTCTGCTAAATGTTATTTCAATATTTTAAGATACCTTTTACATATTTCTAATTTCCCATATTAAGGAAACAATTTCTCTTTCAACATTCTCTAAGTGAAAATACACTCTATAAGGCATTTTCATTTTGAAAAATCATAAAAGCAGCTGAGAAACAAATTTCTATCAGTTTTTATCCAAACGATCAGTCAGTCACAAATTTTTATTAATTTTGTGCTGGTACACAAGTTAGGGGGTTTCCCCTGTGTCTCAGCTGGTAAAGAATCTACCTGCAATGCGGGAGATCTGGGTTCCATCCCTGGGTTGGGAAGATCCCCTGAAGAAGGGAAAGGCTACTCACTCCTGTATTCTGGCCTGGAGAATTCCATGGACTATATATATAGTCATGGGTTTGCAAAGAGTTGGACATGACTGAGCAACTTTTACTTTCACACAAGTAAGGGTTTAAGGATAATAAATATTCCAACAGATTTGGAAGGTCACCTAGTTGATAAGACTGAAACTATCTAATCTCCTGAAGAGTAGTATAAATATAAGCTTGAGAAATTTATGACACAACATAAATCATATAAATATGACAAAAGTGCCTCGCATTCTAATACCCATTTGCTTTCAAATTTTACCTGATAGATGGATAGGGCTTTCTCCATATGCAATTACCTTTTGTGAATAAGTATGAGAAGTGCAAAGCCTATGTAAGACAGGTCTATGAACTACTAATTGGATTTTACAAAAGTACTGATAAACATCAAAGTTTATTACAGTCTACTGAGGTTAAAATTTAATTAACAATGATAAATAACTTTAAGAATTTAAGTATTGCCCAAACCCCAAACTAAAATTCTTGTTTGATGTTTAAGTGTATTTTTCATTGCAGAGAGTATCAGAAAGAACATTGAACTCATCCAGTGATGCTTATCCGTAACTTCAATCATATTCATAGCTTCACACTATTTCTGTTTTGCTGACCTATGCATAAGAAATATGACTTTAATTTTTATTTCTATAAGCATAATTTTCATTTTTTAAAACCTTTGGCTAATCCCATTTACTCTTTATAATTTTTTTAATTTATTATTTTTTTACTCTTTATATTTAAAGAAGTTCATCAGTTACAAACTATTTGGTGGTTGTTGTATTTCACAATTTATTTATGTACTGTTCCAAGATGGAAAACCAGGAATAATTTTTAATCATAAATTAAGGGGAAAAGTATTTAACACAGTTTCATGATTCAGAATCACTTGATATTTTAGAGAGTAAAATGTTGATTTCAATGTGGGCAATACAAATGAGATCTATGCATTTACATAATAGAAATTAAAATTGTAAAATAAAATTTAGAAGGAAAAACAAAACTCATGGCTAGGCAAAGAACTCTATTTCACCAAAAATCTTTCAACAAGTAAGTTTTATATGGGTGAACAGCAGACAGTTGTTAGCAGTTACATAGGAAAACTAAATAAAAAACATGAAATATGTTCTCTGCTCAAGTCTTAAGGAGCTAAAGTTGTAGCTCTAATGTCAGAGCATTGTGATCCATGGGAATTTAAAATGATATACCATGTTTTAACAATGTTCACAAAATTATTTTTAACGAAAACTAAAATTTTTATTTGTTTTATTCTCAACCCTCCAGGGGATATTTGACTTCATAGAAAATTATCTCCAAGTAAGCATGGGCGAGGAAAAGCAGCAAGATAGTTGCTCTTCTTAAGGGTTTATTGATTGCTTAGTATTTGGGGAAGAGAGGGAGGAAGAATAGAAAATGTATACAAGTCGCTACAATAAAAGACTAGTAAAATGTGCCATCAGAGTCAAAAATAATTCTATCCATGTTAAAAAGGGAGAAGGAGTGGGGAGGAGAAAGAGGATAGATAAATTCATTGATTAAATATTTATTGATAGTCTCCCATATACCAGGTGTTGTGAAAGGTTCTTAACCAACTATAAAGATAAAGAAATATAATTTCTGCTCCTCAGGGCTCAAAATCCAGAAGGAATGATAAGATAGGAAATGTGCCCACAGCGCTCTGTGAGTTCAAGAATGGCAGGAACTGTATTTTGTTTGTTGTGGCATCCGAAGCGGTGAGTGAATGCTCACTAGACACTTAATTCACATTTCTAAAGAATCAATTAGTCATCTGCACATAGACAACTTAAAGCTAAGCATGACACTTTTTTTTTTTTCTATTTAATCCTCACAACTCTGAGGAAGCAACTGTCAAATGATGAAAATGAGGGTGGGAGAAGCTAGGGAAGTTGCCCAAAGTTACATAGCTAGTATATGGTAGTGTGTATCCAGAGGCTTTTAATCATTTATTTTCCTATTATCTTATTGAGTGATACAAGTTGTAGAAAGATATAGCTAAATTGTTGTATGGGTTAAAGAAGGAATTATTCCAACTAGGGAAATCAATAGAGGCATGAGATTATAGATGGTTGCCCTGGACACCGTGGAATGGAAAGGATTCTGAGAGATGGTTCCAAAATCCAGACTCATATTTTCTGGTAACCATGAAAACATGAGAATTTTTAAATTTAAATTCATTAGCATCAAATAAAATTAAGAATCCAGTTCCTCAGTTTCACTAGCCACATGCCAAGGGTTTAATAACTACGTATGGCTTCTGGCTACCATACTGGTCAGCACAGACGTACAGAGCATTTCTGTTATTACAGAAAGTTCTATTAAAGAGAGATATTCTGGGCAGAATAAGTAAGTAAGTAAGTGTTAGTTGCCCAGTCGTGCCCGACACTGCGACCCCATGGACTGCAGCCTACCAGGCTCTTCTGTCCATGAGAAGAGGCAAGTATCCTTTTTCAGGCAAGGATACTGGAGTGGGTTGCCATTTCCTTCTCCAGGGGATCTTCCAGACCCAGGGATCAAACCTGGATCTCTTTCACTGCAGGCAGATTCTTTACCGACTGAGCTACAAGGGAAGATATTCTGGACAGAAGGGACTATGAAAACAGGGAAAGCAGCAAGGAAACAACGTTCAGGTCTGTTCAGAGAAGATCAGGGTGTTGAACTTGGTGATAACATAAAGTCCTTGCTGTTATGTTGACATGATAAGTATGTGCCAGATATATTTTTGATGATGTTAAATGCCAACAAGTAGAATTTATGTGAACATGGAATGCATTGAGAAACATGGAGGATTTTTCATTAAGGAATTATGTTATTGGATGGCCTTCCCAGGTGGTGCTAGTGGTAAAGAACATGCCTGCCAATGCAGGAGGCATAAGAGATGGTGGTTTGATCCTTCCCCTGGAGGAGGGCATGGCAACCCACTCCAGTATTCTTGCCTGGAGAATCCCATGGACAGAGGAGTCTGGAGGGCTACAGTCCATGGGCTTGCAAAGAATTGGACATGACTGATGTGAGGGCATGCATGCACAGTCTGTTCTGGAAGTGGCTCATAGGACTAATGAAATAGTAAGAGCTGATGGTTGGAAAGCTGGCCATGAGGTTGTTGAGCTTGGGAAAGGAAAAGCTGCAAAGGATGTGAGAAATTTAAGTTAGAACCTCTATGACTTGATATCCTGAGGAGAAAATGAAAAAGAAGGTTGAATAACGAAGAGTGGTGTCATAACTGGGAGAATGGTGTCAGAATGGGAGAATATTGTCAGAAATGCAGAAGTCAGGAGAAGGATGGGATTTGTTTCAAAGGGAAAAAAAATTAGTGTAGTTTTGAACATGTTGAATTTAAGGTTCTTTTGAGACATTTATTTGGAAATTTCCATGAAGCACTAGAGAAATATTCCAAATCCTTTATTTTCACAGAAAAATCAATGGCTGGTCTGTGAAGATGAGATAGATGGGGAGACAAGGAAGTCATCACCAGCAGGAGGACCAATATCCAAAATGTGAGAAGTGAAGTCCAAAAAGGTGCCAAAGTCAAGAATAGCAGATATGAAAGTTGAAGTAAAAAGCCAAGAGTTGGGGATATGACTGATGTAGTCTAATTTGTCTCTTACAGCTTTGGAATATGTTGCACTTTCTTAGCCCTATTGGTTTAACATCATTTCTCAGAGAGACTACTACCAGGAAAGTTCCTGAAAGTTTCAATTTCACATTGCTTGCTTACATCTTAGATGTTTATGACAGTATGACAGTGACTTTGCTGTGTATGAAATGTTATCAGAAATTTGTGTGGGATCCTTCTAAATTTTTTCTATGGACTTTCATACATGATACAAATTGTTGTATTTCATTGAAGCAGAAAGCCTCATAAGAGTTGTAAACTATCAATCCTGTTGTTTCAAATTTCACAGAGAATCATGAGGCTTTCTTTCACCTTAATGTTAATAGATTCCAAGATCTCTGGGGTGATTCTCTTTCACAAGAATTTTTCTATTCACCATTTAGATTTTGTTAGTGTAATTGGTGGTAGAAGGAAAGAACCGGCTATATAATTTAAAAGGGAAAACAGAACACAGATGGTAAGATAAAGTCCAACTTCAAGAATAGAGGCAGAAAGAGATAAAGATCTTTCTATCTTTCAAAAGATAATTAAGTCTTTGTCACAAATGAAGACAAGGTACTTTTGACAACCAAGATTTCAGGGAAAAAATAATGTAACATAAAAGGATGGGTACTAACCCAGAATTTTGAAGTTTTACACAGTGGATTTCTGAACATAAGGCAAGTGTTCTACCAGACCTCACTCTGTATGACTGAATATATAAATGCAGATTTTGTTCAGTGAGTTAGTTGTTTAAAAAGGTTAAATACTTGTAATTTGTACACTTCCCAAGTCTGTAATTACTAAAAAGCCATTGAAAGTCCTTCAGTTAGGGAATTTTTAATGAGTTAATGCTTGATCCCCCTTAAGATATCTTGAGTTCAAAAGGAAGGATGCAGGTGCAAAAAACCACAAGAGAGCTGAACTGAATAACCTCCAGTAGAATCAGGATTGAAATGCAGACCTCCCAAATCTCAGTGGCAGTGTACATTAGTCAGAAAAGCAAAATGGACTTGACAGCAAAGGGAAGAGAATTAATATGAAGAGGAAACTGTGATGGTGTTGAGAAGTTAGTCATTAGCTATAGCAATTAACTGCAATTACCATTACTTACAAAAGCATAAGATATTTTACCCAAGCAACTATTACTCAGTAAAAGATAATTATTTCTCATGATTATGGTTGTGTGACAGGTTATGTGCCATATATCAGCTAAGACAAAGTGAGAGTAATTGTCTCAGTAACTGTATTTCAAAACACATACCTTCTGCATCAAGACTAATGTTGACAGCATCGATCCAATCCCAAATATCCAAAGGAAAGGTGAATGCATTTTACTCTCATCCCCATATGCTGTATACACAACGTCAAAAATATAGGTGCCTGAAAAGACAGTTTTTCATTTAAATAATGGAGAAACTAGAATTCTACCATTAATATTTTGATCTAAATTTGGATTTTTCACTTCTAACCTTAATTCTAGCAATACAGTTAAGACAGGAAACAAGAACTCACAGAATTTCTCTAACGTGAACTGTATTTTTCCAGGAGCACAACATGTATTTGAAAACTTTTTTTTTCATTTATTTTTATTAGCTGGAGGCTAATTACTTTACAATATTGTAGTGGTTTTTGTCATACATTGACATGAATCAGCCATGGAGTTACAAATATTCCCCATCCAGATGCCCCCTCCCACCTCCCTCTCTACCCGACCCCTCTGGGTCTTCCCAGTGCACCAGGCCCGAGCACTTGTCTCATGCACCCAACCTGGGCTGGTGATCTGTTTCACCCTAGATAATATACATGTTTCCATGCTGTTCTCTCGAAATATCCTACCTTCTCCCACAGAGTCCAAAAGTCTGTTCTGTACATCTGAGTCTCTTTTTCTGTTTTGCATATAGGGTTATCATTACCATCTTTCTAAATTCCATATATATGTGTTAGTATACTGTAATGTTCTTNTACAAATTAAAATTCATTAGAATGGGATGAATTTGTATATTGTACAATCAGATTTAACTCTCTAAATGCCAGTTGCATAATATTAATCTTTATAAAAGACTTGCCTGGTGGTGAAGAGAACATTATTCGGAAGAAGGCTGTCTGGATTTGAATCCCTGCTCCTCTTATATTAACAGTGAAATCTTGGCCAAGTCATGCCTAATATGCCTCTGCTTTTTCCATCTGTAAAATGAGCATATTAAAAGTACCTGCTTCACAAAATATTGTACCAAATAGTTAATATATGTAAGACCCTTAAAACAGCACCCATGACAAGGTAAGAGCTATAAAGTCTCATCTTACATTATTATAGGTCTCACTCATATTATACACAGCTGGAGGCCAATGCATGTGCAGTAAATGCAGGAAAAAAGCTTGCAAGAAGTTAAAGTTTGATAGTAATAAAATAAAAATCTTATAAGATATACTTAGAAAAAAATACCTTAAGATTTCAAGAAAGTGCTCAGCTACGAAAAGAGTACTATTTCTAATAACCCAAATAAGTTATTAAGACTAAAAAATCCTTCCCTCAACTGTTTATTCACTAAAATGCTTTTCTTTAAGTTGTTAAAGTTTTCGCACTTGAAATTCATGATGACTCAGTTAAACTGACTGGAGAGTTTCTATCATATTATAAGGCAAGTCATATGAAGAATAATTGAGAGGACTTTAAATAAAGCAGTGGATAGTATCCAAACTTTTAATTAGCTGTGATAATTGGGAAATGTACCCTGGATAATTAATGTTCACATAAAATTCTAAAAGTTTATTATTTAAGTCTCTCCCGTTTTCAAGTTTTAAAATTTATTTTTGGTTGGAACTGCAAACTAAAAACAAAGATACAGATTTTCTCTGTTTTATAGTTTTCTACCACAATTTTTATTAGCAAAGATAAAGATGGCCAGGAATTAAGGACTTCGTGGTCTAGTGGCTAAGATTCTGCCTTCTCAGTTCGGTGGGCCTGGGTCGGATCCCTAGTTGGGGAACTAGACCCCACATGTCACAACTAAGACCTGGAGCAGACAAGTAAATAAATAAATAAAAATATGTATAAAAAAAGAAATGACCAGGAAATAAAACTATGTGAGGTTTCAGTGGTCTGTTATGATTGAATAGTCTGTGAAATAAATTCAAATTGTTTCTGAAAACAAAGTTTGGGCCGATACAGACCTTAGTATGAGTCTGGGCCATGTCATTTATAAATTATTTCATTTTGCACAAACTATTTAAACATTGTCAGCCTCAGTTTCCTCCTCTGGCAAACTCAGATAGGAGTAATTATGTCTTATTATTTTTGAGATTTAAATTAGATGACACAGAAGAATACACAGTACATTTCTTGGCATAAATAGTTTGATAAATGTGAGCTGCTAATGGTGGTAGTGATGATGATGATGGTAATGATGGCTCCACTTAAACATTTGTTTTGCTCCACTTAAATTTTGGTCTTTAATCACTGATAGGTTTCCTTATTCTAATGTTTCTTTCCTACTTCTGTAAGTATTCTTTCTCCATAGGACTTTTCTTTATCTACCTCTTTCTTTAACAGTTATGATTGGTTATTAAGATCTTTACAGAAATTGAGATATGGGTAAACATACAGTAGTTGTTCAACAACTTGTTTCAACTTTTGTAGTGTTTTACACACCTTTAAACCTATCAAATACGTAGAACCCGTATAGGAGTTTGAGGAAGAGACAAACTATTTCTGAGGCATAGTTTCCTCTGAGGTTAAAGTCTCTTAGAATTCGGGAGTTGTGACCCAGGAGAACTTCTGGCCAGGGGTCTCTTATGGCACAGACCTATAGATCCATCTGGAAGGGGTGAGGCAAGTAGTCTTCATGAGTAGACAGAAGGTAACTGCAATTTATTGGATGCCACTCTATGCAGCTGGATAGCTCAGCAGTAAAGAATCTGTGGGTGATACAGTAGACACAAGAGACGCGGGTTCAATATCTGGGTTGGGAAGATCCCCTCAAGGAGGGCATAGCAACCGCTCTGGTATTCTTTCCTGAAAAATCCCATGGACAGAGAAGCCTGGTAAGCTACAGTCCATAGGGGTAGCAAAGAGTCAGACTGGCCTAAGCACAAACACTCTATGTGCCCATTTTAAGTAAATATTCCTCAAAGATCTACCTGGTTGCTATTTAGCTTCTCACGATACAACCTCGCCCATGCAAGCATGCATGCTCAGTGTGCAGCTCTTTGCAACCCAGTGGACCAGAGCCCTCCTCTGTTCATGGAATTCTCCAGGCACAAAGACAATATCTAAAATTCTTTACATCTTTAGATATATATGTTTTTTCAGATAGTTCAAAGGCCCTCTCTCTGGCCCTGACTTATCTCCAAGTCTCCAGTCTGACAGGCAAACTTCAGGTAGATGTCCCACCATTACTCCAACCAGTGAAGCGCTGGTAAACTGGCTCTCAGAAACATTATTTATGGACTTGTCTTTCATGCATTGGAGAAGGAAATGGCAAGCCACTCCAGTGTTCTTGCCTGGAGAATCCCAGGGACGGGGGAGCCTGGCGGGCTGCCGTCTCTGGGGTCGCACAGAGTCGGACACGACTGAAGCGACTTACCAGCGGCAGCAGCACCTGGTGGCCCAGTAGTGAAGAGTCCACCTGACAATGCAGGGCACACAGGTTTGATTCCTGGTCTGTGAACAGCCCACAGGCCTCGGGGTAACGAAGCCTGTGCGCTAGAGTTCCCTCTCTGCAGCGAGAGAAGCCATGGCAATGAGACGCCCACACAAGTGCAGCTAGAGAGTAGGCCCCGCTCACCAAAACCAGAGAAAGCACACACGCAGCAGCGAAGACCCAGTGCTGCCAAGAGCAAATAAATACATAAAAGACATGAAAAGCTATTTGTAAGCATTTGTCAGTGTCTATCCCTGCTAGCTCAGACGGTAAAGCGTCTGCCTACAATGCGGGAGACCCGGGTTCGATCCCTGGGTCAGGAAGATCCCCTGGAGAAGGAAACGGCAACCCACTCCAGTATTCATGCCTGGAGAATCCCATGGACAGAGGAACCTGGCGGGCTACAGTCCATGGGGCCGCAAAGAGTCGGACACGACTGAGCGACTTCACTTCACTTCATAGTGTAAATACTTTCAACACGGCCTGTTTCCTAGCTACCATCTTAACATCAGTGAACGCAGACTTGGAAGGAGGTGTGCACACTTGCTACAACACAGACCGGACTTTCCCTAACTTGTAATGCCCCAAACCAAATTCATCATCTTTGCTCCAATCCTAGTTAATAGCGCTTCGCTCACCAGCATATCCAGGCTGGAAACGTAAGAGTCAGCCTCAGTGCAATACGAGGTATTCCGCAGCTGTCTCCTGCCTACCCCTCTGCCTTTGCTGGTGCCGCTGCCTAAGACTGCACTGTCTCGTGTGTTCACAGCAGAAAAGCTTCTTCCAGTCTGAGCTCAAACATGGAATCTGTTGATGAGCCTTCCTTACTTGACTCTCCAGTTGGGAGTAGTCACTTTTCCCTCTGTAATCATGCTAAGTATCTTTTCTTTAAACAGAAACATCTAAAGTTGGTACATTAAAAGCAAACCCAGATTTCTCAGCATGAGTAAAGAAAGAAGACCTCCACCTGCAGGGTGTGAAGATCAGTCTGAAGTTCTGAGCTCTGGTCTGCAGTCATCCACCTTCCTCCCAGGAGGATTTCACATGGGTCTTCTTTCCTTAATTCTCTCATCACAGTCCAATCAAGATTGGAACTTTAAAACAAAGCATTCACACAAACTCAAGAGAGGCAGGAAGGAAACAAAGGGCTTTGCCTGGATCAGGTCAGTGGCCCACTCCAGCATGAAGGTTTGAGTTTGTAAATAAAGCTGCTCTTTCAAAAGCATTTATTTATTTATTAATGCTAATTATAGTCTTCACCAAATATAAACTTCTATCTGCTAGGATGGTGTTTTACTCATCTCTAAACCACTCATACAGACTGGCACTATATTATGTATAATACATAACTCAAAATTTGTGAACACAATTCATGAATGCATGACATTAGAACTTTGATTTCAAAGTTTCAAATCTTGAGAAGATTGTGACAGGTAATAGAATATAAATATGCCACTATCCTGTGAGCATACACAAGAGAACTTTTGTGACCCTGTTTGACCTTAAATGGAATATAATATTATTTTTACTTAATTCTATGCTTCTTCTGAAGAAAATATAACTAGAACTACACTATTCAAAATGCACAATAATCCATTAAAGGGAGATAACTTTTAGCCTTTCTTTCTCCTTCAGAAACATTAAGAGCCGTGACTTTGTTTTCCTGTCCTTAATTTGCAGGCAATTGCTTCTAAAGAATCCAACTTCAAACTGACACGAGGATTGCAGAATAACTTTGTCCTTTGAACTTCATTTCAAAAGATCTGAAAACTTAGATGGTTTATTTTTCTTAACTGAAGAGCCTTTAACTTCTGGGACAAAAGAGAAAGAAGAGTTGTAGCAAGGACTGTGATTAAACCTTAACCTGAAAGACGAACTGGCCAGACATGGATGCGTGTGCTGGTTTAGCTCGTTCAGACTTGCTGCTCCTTGCGTAAACATTCTCATCAGACCCACCCATCTCTGTCTAGGAGAGATCAGTGAATCATGCTGAATCCAGACCTTTACCTTTTCAAGGTCTATCTATTGCTTTTACCTCCAATCACCTTTTCTTTGCCTCCTGCCTGTTTGCTTGACGTCACTGTTTACCAGGCATCTGGAAAAGGAAATAGGTTTAGAAGGAGATTTGGAATTGAGTGATATTTGGAAATAATTAGGCAAGAATTCAGAAGACCTGGTTTCGTTCTAGTTCTAGCTGATTTTGAGTAGCTGTTGACCTTGAATAAACCCCATTATGTTTCTGGATAGAATTTATAAAAATTATTGAACTGGGATAAATAGTATTAATGAATTTGTAATATTATCATATGTTTAGGTGCTATGTTTGCCTTTTTAAAAAATAGATTTTAGTGATATATACAATGCACTAATAAGCACAGAAGTAGATATAGCACTGTAATGAGAAATTAATGGTATCAAAATAGTTGATATGGGAAGAGAGGAAAATAGGGAAGAAAATATAGACCTAGGTACAGTGATGGGTAGCCTTGACCTCCAGATTTGTTATATAAAATTAATTTTGCACAAAGGAATTGGTTTTAAGGGGCAGAATGTACTGACAATTTATAGTTTTACTTAGTTATAGACATTGGTTGCTATTTTACACTGATAATGTCTGCTCCTGTTTTTCACTTTTAGTCTATATCTTTTTCTTTATAATTAAAAATGAAAGTATACCTTAAAGAAAATAATTAATAAAATAATACTTAATTAATTAATAATTAATAAAATAATGATACTCATTACCCAGAATCATTGAGTTAGTTTTGGAATTCTAGTGTTTTGTTTTTATTATTTGTACATAATGTATATATTAGTCTGTATTCTTCCAGAAGAAGATCCTCCAACAATTATTTGAGTGCAAATAGTTTATGTGAGCTGAGCAGGGGACACTAGAAGGGCAGGTGGATAGTGAGAGAAGGGGAAGCAGCTAAGAAAGAATACTTTAGTCAACCCACATCTATGGTGGGTAACTGGAGTTCGGCCCTTGGAAAGACTCTGGGAAATAGTATGAAAACAAACAAATACCAGGTCTTGATAATCTCATCTGAAGTTCAAGAGGGCTGGCTTTAGGACTGCTGGTGTGCGTGCATGCTAAGTTGCTTCAGTCGTGTCCGACTCTTTGTGACCCCATGGACTGTAGCCTGTCAGGCTCCTTCGTCCATGGGATTCTCCAGGCAAGAGTACTGGAGTGGGCTGCTGTGCCCTTCTCCAGGGGGTCTTCCCAGGGATTGAACCTGCATCTCCTGCATCTCTTAAACTGCCAGAGAATTCTTTACTGCTGAGCCACCGGGGAAGCCCCAGGGCCACTGTGGGGGTGTTTGTGTGTGTTAATCCCGCAGCACCTGTAGGTCATTTTCCATGTATAGAGGGCACAGCAGCCTTCCATGGGCTGGAGGATGGCACTTGAGCACAGAAATGTGCGTAGTGGCAGCAGGGAGTCAACTGGAACACACAGAAGCGTTAGAGAGATTTGGGTGTAGTACCGACAATGTGTATCACTGAATTTTTTAGGTAAATCAATTTTTTTATAAAGATGAAACATGTCTACCTTGAGCAAGTTAGAAAAGTTAAAATGCTATATATTAAAATCATTCTAAATTTGACCATCCTTTAGTAGTCATCAATATGTTTAGGTGAATACCATTCCCATTAAATAAAGTGGATGTGTGTTTCCATGTGTCTGTGTAGACATGTGTATGCATATGTGTAGAGAGACAAATTTTGTGAATTCTTCATTTCAGGAAGAAATTTCTTATGTCAACTGAAAGAAAAACACACAATAGAAAAGCTGCAAGTTAAGTTCCGTTGGGACCTTACTGAAGACTCTAACCCAAGAGGCAGCCACTCAGATAGATCTGAGCAGTGGCTCCAAAGAAGTAAGGGACGGGCCAGAATGTATATCAATTTTCTGCTGGGGGAAAAAAAACACACACACATACACACAACATGTAGTCTAATCACAAAGAATAGACATCTCAAGTTAATGATTTGGGTGCTGATCTAAGTATGGGAAGATGCAAGAATCTGAGGTCATTGAAATTTTCCTTAGATATGCATCTTAACGATCTAGGGGCCGGTATATCCAAAGCACAGAAGGCTTTCTGTTTTTCTTCATTGCAAATTCCTCTCAGGGTGCACTTGTCCCTAGGCGACAGCAGTATCTCCTGGCTTTGATTCTTGTAGAACTGAAATGGCAACAGCATTCTTTTCTTTACAGATATATCTGCTTTTCTTTGGTCAGATTCCTTATTTAAGGAGTGCTGTATATGCGCATGTTGGATTTTCCTTGTCTTCAATATCTATTAGCCATTCTGTGGTTGTTTAAAACATTTTTTTTGCCTCTTTCATATGCATTTATTAAAATTATCTTAAACTCTTCTTCTAGTCAGTATTTTGATTTTTAGTGAAGTTTACTTTTTACTCTGCTTTAATTTAGCTATTTTTGTGATAATACTTTAGCCTTCTTTTATTTTCTTAAATCTACACTTCCCTTTTTCATCTATTTTTATTGTTCTGACATCTTATCTTTGAGTTTCTGAATTCATATTCTTACTAAGTTATTCTCTAAGTTAAGATTATTGTGATGAATTTTCTTGTGCTTTGAAGTATGTTTTCTTTCACCTTTAGGATCCTTATCTTCCTTGGAAAGGCACATTTCTTTCTTGCTTACTTTTCTCTTCTGCATATTTTGTTTTGCTGTAGTATGTTTGCATTATTGCCATGGAACTTTCTTTCACATTGTTCAAAATTGAGTGGTTCTATTCAGATGTTTTTTTGTGATATTATGTGAGTATACACATGATTCTTCCTGGTACAGTTGAACCAAGTTTCTTTTGCCCTTCTAGCTACTGTTAAGAGATATTTTGCTTTGTGTTCATTTAAGAACCCAGTTGAAGTGCTATGCCATCTATAATACCATGGCTCTGGTCTCTTCTGAGATGTTGCCAATTATCGCACTGTGTTCTGTGTGTTATTTCCGCTTATGTTCAGTCATGTCCAACTCTTTGCGATTCCATTGACTATAGCCCACCAGGCTCTGTCCATGGAAACTTCCAGGCAAGAAAAACTGGTGGGGGTTGCTATTTCCTCCTCTAGGGTATCTTCTGGACCCAGGGATCAAATCCGCAACTCTTGCATCTCCTGCACTGGCGGCAGATTCTTTTACCACTGTGCCACCTGGGAAACTGCATAGAAGGATTAAAACCATCTAGTTTGGTAAGTCACATACTTCAGGGGGATTATACCTGGATTTCACACTATTTTCTCAATTCAGTGTATTTGTTTCGCTTTTCTAGGACAGTCATAATTCAGCTTCTTAGCTTCAGGACAAAAAGAAAAACTTAATCTACTAGTTTACTCTCTCTTATATTAAAAAAAATGCTTAGCTACTTATATTTTTCAAACTACATCTTTAGGTGGAAGAATACCCAAGAACTGAATGGGATAATTTACTTACAGTGAGATTATATGTATATGGTTACATGACAACCATGATGGTGCCTGTAATTGGGTGAGTCAGTTTTTGGTTTCTTTTAACCTTCATGACAAGGTGAAAGAGTTTGCTACACTCTCATTTTAAATAAATGCTTGTTTCTATTCTGGAATTGTTTTTAATCAATCAATATTCCGGCCTATTTTATTGCAATATAGATTATTTACAATATTATGTTAGTTTCAGGTGTGTAACACAGTGATGCAATATTTTTATAGGTTATATGCAATTTAAAGTTATTACAAAATAATGACTATGTTTTCCTGTATTATGCAGTGTATCTTTGATGCTTATTTATTGTATGCATGGTAGTTTGTACCTCCTAACCCCTTACCCCTCTTTTATTCCTCTCCCCTTCCCTCCACTCAGTGGTAAACACTAGTTTGTTCTCTATATCTGTAATTCTGTTTCCATTGTTATATTCATTTGTTTGTTTTATATTTTAAACTCTATATGTAAGTAGTAACATAGGGTATTTGCCTTTGTCTGACTTATTTCACTTAGTATGATACCACCTAGGTCCATTCCTGTTCCAAATGACAGAAATGCTGCTCTTCTTTTATAACTGAGTAGTATTCCATTGTATGTATACACTATATCTTCTTTGCCCATTTATACATTGATGGACACTTAAGTTGTTTCCAAATCTTCATTATTGTAATTAATGCTGCTATAAATATTGGGGTGCATGTATCTTTTTGAACTACTATTTTCAGATTTATTCTTGAATGATATTAATACATTATATAATTACAGATTTAAAAAATTCTTACAATACACAGAAAGAATTCTTACATTGGAGAAGTTAAACTATCTGAGCATTATGATAATTTCCAGTTGATTCACTTTATAATTCTAAGTAGTATATTGTGATATGAAATATGTGACTTAGAAATAAGACAATCAAAGGTGACCTCCAAGAATACCATCAAATTCAACAAACATATAAGTAAACCAAAAGTATCTATTTTCAGTCAAAATCCATAGCAGATGGAAAAAAATAACTGAATAATATTTAACATAACATTTAACAAAAAGACAAGGGAATGAGAGATTGTGAGCACCTTTACTCAGGGACTAGAAACAATGGGGGAGTGTTAGCACCCCTAAATTGGAAGGGGCAGGAGAAGGAAGGCTTACCGACCAGGTGTTAGAAGTGCAAAGGGGCTGCCCCTCACCTGGAGGAAGACCTTCACAACTGGAACCTTGGAAACAGGGTTGCCACGGACTCTGATAGTTTTCTCCTTCCAACCTCAAATCTCCTATCAATGCTTGTTATTGACCAAACCCACAGAACGCTGAAGGCAGGAGTCCAGGTGTAGAAGAGAGGAGAGGTTAATCTCTAGGACTTAGTAAGCAGGAAAGGGTGGAGGATGGATCTGGAGGGACAAATGGAGGCCAGCCAGCAGAGTATCTTACCTTAACATTGTCTTTAAACATTGTTTAAATAACAGGAAGGAGCTCTTTAGCTATAGAAGTAAAGAGCATACTTTTCTGCATTTACATAAACTTACAAAGCCACTCATGTATAATGTGTAAAATGGAATTGCTTCATGCATGTTCTATGTATGTAGGCACTCATATTCAGAGTTGTTTCTACTACTTGAATTAGCTCACACTTCTTGAGTGGTATATGCAAGGGACTTTTCCAATGGTGTTACGTGAATTTACTCATTTACTCTTCAGTAGTGGCAATATCGGAAAAGGCAATGGCACCCCACTCCAGTACTCTTGCCTGGAAAATCCCATGGATGGAGGAGCCTGGTAGGCTGCAGTCCACGGGGTTGTGAAGAGTCGGACATGACTGAGCGACTTCATTTTCACTTTTCACTTTCATGCATTGGAGAAGGAAATGGCAACCCACTCCAGTGTTCTTGCCTGGAGAATCCCAGGGACGGGGAGCCTGGTGGGCTGCCGTCTATGGGGTCGCACAGAGTCGGACATGACTGAAGCAACTTAGCAGCAGCAGTAGGCACTACCATCCCCACTTTGCAGGTGAGGAAACAGAAGCTCAGTGAAGTTGCCTCAGGTTAGTAACAAGAAGTGGGACTCTAAGCTGGGATGCTAACTGTGGCATCTGGCACCAGAGTGTTTCCTCCTAACTACCATCCCTAAAGGAAGTCTATGCTATTAGCCCATAGGCTAGTCAATTGCCTAATTTTGGAGTCTCATGAGTTTTTGTGTCATTTTCATTACACTTGAGTAATAACTACTGAATTGGCAAAGTAACTTAATCTGAAAGAAATGACCCACTTCCCAAATTTTGCACACAAAGTCTGAGAATCAGATTCCAAGATGTTCTGGGTCTGAAAGGAACTTAGCCAATCCTTCCTTTAGTTGTGACCAGACCAGTCCCCTCTCTAACCTCATTAGCATCTTGCTGATTCACTTACTGGAACAGATGTAACTCCTGTTTCGTAAGCTTAAAAATCATCCTCCTGAAATACTGCATAGCTTCTGAACAGTGGCGGTATGAAGATATTTTGCATCAGATATGATTCTAATAGCAATGTGTGGCAACTCTGTCAAAGGGAAAGAAATCTAACTAAGTTTCTTCTTGTGAAAGAGAATAAAGAAATGGAGATTTTTGTAAAAGAAGTAATGAGTTCAGTAGTTTCTGAAAGTGAAACTAGGAATTAAATGCAATCACATAGAAGTCCTCTCTTTAAAATGAAGGTCAATTTGGGAAATACTTTAGGTAACCCAACCTCCATAACAAAATATCATAGACTACATGGCTTAAACAGCAGAAATGAGAAACAGAAATATTGTCACCGTTCTGGAGGCTAGAAGTTCAAGATCAGGCTGCACGGTTGGGATCAGGTTAGCAGACGGCTGTCTTCTCACTGTGTTCACATGGCCCTTCCTCAATGTGCATCTGGTTTTGAAAACAAAGACAGCTCTTCCTCTTCTCATCAGACCAACAATTCCATTCAGTTAGAACCCCTTCCTTTCACTGCTTCCTAGAAGCCCTATATCCAAATAGTGGCACCTGGAGTTTAGGACTTCAACACATGAATTTAGGAGGACACATTCAGTCCATAGTAGGCAACTACTCTTCTCCTGACTAGATTAGCAAAATAAAATTATTCTAAACTTTACTCAAGAATACTTTTATCACAGTACATTTATATTTAAAATAGGAAATACCCATGAAAGTTTATTAAAAAATAAACCAGCAATTACTGCTTTATGTATTGCTAAATGCAGGCCATAACATGGAATTCTATTAGCATTCTTAGCTTACTTCAAATTAAACTGATATATAAAATTTCTAAAATAGATTGGGCTTGAAATTATAAAGATAATCAGTTTCCCTAAATGTGACCTCCTTCCACCGTCATTGTAAATGCAGATGACTATGGGGATTGGAGTGGGTGGGGGAACGTGAAGATTATATTGGGTCCCTTCCTTTGGAGCTTCTGTTTGTTTAGGGCAGTGAATCAAGGTGGCTATTAATTGGGGAAAAATGATATGTCAGTGCATTTGTGTCAAAAAGACACAAATACAATCAACCCACAATTCCCACCATCCCTCAAATGAGTTATTTCATTTGTCCACCTATAAGAGCCTTGGCGTTGTTCTTGTATTACCTCTTTCCACTCTGAGTTTCTTTAGATAGGGCGCTTAACTGAATTCCTTAGGAATACTAATACCTGGGATTAGTTGGGTATAGCGGTTTAGAGGCATAACTGCTCTGGGTCCTATGCAATTCCAAAGACAGCCATACTATTAACATCTGAGAAGCCTGGATAGTGAAGATATGTGTGAGCATGGATAGTTGAGACACATTTTTACATGACATGCTTTTCAACTTATATGACATATGACTTTATGCAACTCCTAGACTTCAATTTATTTATTTATGATGTAGGTCTAATAATAGTATATTACACACAGTGTTGTGAGATTTATTATATTATAAATATTATATATGATGTATATTTGTATCCACATATGTGTGTACCTGTCTATCCAGAGGGAAAAATCCTTTCAGTTGGGACCATTTGATTAATGTTAGTTGTTCTTACTACTTTTGATTTGGGGTTATAATTTCTATTTGAATCTTTTTAGGTAGATACTTTTATCACTGGTCCAATTTAATTCAATTTCTATGTCTTTTTAAAGGGCAAAAGCAAGAATAATTTTGAAATTATAAAAGAAATTATAAAATTAATTTATAAAATTGGGTTGGGGTGGTAAGTTAGCCAAGGTTGCAATATATGTCTTATTTGGCTCTGATTTCTTCAATGAGTAAAAATGACCTTTTGTGAACATAAAACTGCCTCTGAAAGAAAATCACATATTTTCAATTCAATACTGAAAATAAATTTATAATGCTAAAACAAATTATCTTATTTTCTATTTAACAGTACACTTTATCACCAAGATGTTTCTTTTTTAAAACGGAGCGAGAATATGCTTCCTGACCATGAATACTAGTAAAACTCCAATGACGCTCAGTGCTGTCCTCATCATCGAATGATCATATAAAATGCTTTACAATGCCCCTTGGATTATCTATCTAAACAATGTGATATATAAGCAATAATACGCATGATCCATTCTGAAGGACTGCCATTGACTGTCAAAGTAAATTCCAAATTATGATTTTAAAACAATCAAGGACAGAAAAGTTGAAGGTAACAGTACAAGAAACTTTTTATTTTCCTGAACTGTTTGGAACAAGTTGCCAAGCTGGTGTCCCATTATTCCAGAACACCGTGATGTATATTTCTTACAAACAAGCACCTTTGCTGTACAACTCTAATAAAACCATTGGAGTCAAGAAATTACTACAAAAACATCACTAACATTTAATCCTCAGAGTTCATTTAAATTTCACCAATTGTCCCAATAATGGTCTTTATAGCAATAGGATCTAGGTTTGAATCACAGGATACAGTTAGTTGTCAGGTCTTTTTAAGTCTCCTTTTCCTGGAACACACTCCTGTCTTTCTTCGACCATCATGACCTTGAAATTTAAAGGCCGGCTATTTGATAGAATGTTCTTCTGT